CCCCAATCCCAAAACCCCAAAACCCCAAAACCCCAAAACCCCTAAATCTTTATCAAATATTGAAATAACCTAAATTATTTAGCGCTTGAAGTATATGTCGGCAACAAATCCTTCAGGGGAAACCACAACTTGAGAGGAGTCAAGTCTGAACTCTTTCAGAATTCTGTCACGGTTGAATACCTTAAAGGACAGGCTGTATTGAAAATTCTCAAGACTTTGCCCAAAAGTAGAGTAGATTATTAAATCAAGTAGCTCCTCGAACACACTGTAGGAAGCCTCGCTATCATATTCGTTTGATGCCGGGACTCATTCAATGAATTTAAGAGACTTTAGCTTAATACAAGAAACCTCTGGAAGCTCTATTATAAATTAGAATGCTTCATGAAATGTATTCTTCAGCTCAAACTTACCTATCATTTTACTCGAAATTTTTCACTTGGCAAAGAAGATGGTTTCAATGCTTCTTCAGCATAAAATTATTTTAGCAATATCTTTTGTATTAAGCAAACAAGTGTGCAGGCAAAAAACTTTTGTTACAAAACAAAGTGTGGGACAAAAGATCTTGAAATGCTTTGAAACATTAAGAGGTTGGATATCTGGATAAATCCAAGAGCTTAAAATTTCTAAATTATCACTCTTCATTGGAGATAGTTTCTGTATAAATTTATCATAAACTTTAAAATTAGAATTCAATGAGATCGTAAAGTCTATACTTTCAGCCTCTAGGTGTTTAATATTTAGTGAAGTTAATTCCTTCAAAAGAATTTGAGTTCACAAATTGTTTGCATTTAATCAGATGCATTCTGATCTCCTTCTAAAATATATACTATATCGATCTATTAGTTCAGTTTCTTGATCTATAATCTTAAACTCCTTTCTTCTTAAGTTTCTCATTGGATCTGCATCTAGTATTGGGAGATTTTGTTGTTCGCAATACATGGGTTCTTTGGATGATTCCATTTATAGAGTGCAACTTATTTTGGGAAAATTTGATAGTAACAGATGAATAAATTCAAAAATGCATTGTTGATTAGGTTTACCATTTTATTAGTTTCTCTAATTGAAACTGATGGCGATAGCGATGGCGATAGCTTGAAGTGTCATATGATTCTATGTGTGTTCTCTTTGTGTTAGTACCTGATTCCACCCCTTTCATGAACAAACCTCCATCTCCCTTCCTATAATCCTTTCCTTACCCTATGCCAGTCTCTTCAACTAAACCCAGCCTAGTTTTCTGCGCTAATCCAATTCCCTCAAAACATGCTATTTTCTCCAAAACCAGTTATTTAATAAATGTTGTTCTGGTCTCCCAAAATACTATCCCCGATACCCAGAATGTGTATCTTGATTTTAGGTTGCTGAGATGAGAGCTCTAATTAAGTTACAATACTAAGCTAAATTAAAATTTCAATCTTCATCTTAGCACTCAAAACTCTAAATACGCATTAGGTGTTGAAGATGATACAACAGGCTGAAGATTTAAAACATTTTATGACCAGAAATGTGACAGATTTCTCTCAGTTACGTCTGGCTATACCATGGACCCAATATGCCAAATACCCTTCCTAACTTTCTTGGTCAAATATGTTGTGAAGTTATTTGGTATAATTAAAAAGAGTTTGGAAATGCAGATGTAGATTTTAAGCTGGGATACAGCATTAAGTTGAATTAGAATTATTGAATCACGGATTGAAGGATATGGAGACTGAACGCTGGCCTTTGGAAACTAATATTTGAGCTGAAGGGCAATTGAACTCTTTGGCTATTTCCTGTTGGCTGAATATATTAGAAGAGACACTGTATTGGAGATACTCCAGGCTCATTGTAAATGTAGAGTTCAATATTAAGTTGATCAGATTCTGAAACACACTATACAAAGCTTCTTTGAGTGAATCATTGTCTATTGGCTTGCATTGAGCAAATTTGAGAGTTTTCAGTTTAATTCCAGTAATCTTCGGCAAAGCTATATTTTGTGGTTAGTAAAGATAGAAAAGAAGCATTTATCAGAATGAAGATCACATTTAGCAGACAAATTGTATCTAGAGTTAGTCCTAAGACTCAGCTTGCTTCATTCTCTGATAAATGCTCAAAGTAGGAGTAAAGCTAGAAGTGATAGTATGGCTAAAATTGACAAAAGAATAAGACCAAAGTAGAGAGTATGCGGGATATATTCTTCTCATGTATCTAGCAAAGCATATTATCTTGCTAACATGCTCTTTTTGAGTATTATTATCGTCAAGCAATATATTATTAATCTTTGTTAGATTAATCAGTTAAAATAAACTTACTTCAAGTTTGAGGTATGATTCTTCACTTTTGAAATGAGAGAAAGCCTAGATGCCTTCATCATGAAAGTATTCTTGCAACATCTTTGGTTTCAAGAATAGAATCGTATAAGCGAAACTCTGTAGTGACAAAACACAAAGTTGGATAAATCTTTTTGAAGTATTTCTTAAAGTTCCATTGAGTCATGCACCAATTTGAATTATTTTACTATCAAACTATTGCATTTCATGGGAAACAAATTTTGTATCAAGTCTGCATATTTGCTGATATCTGACTTCTTTGAAATAATAATAGATATTTTTTCTATCTCTCAGATATCTCATTTAAGCCTGGACATTTGCCTAATCAAATAATAATTTTGAAGATAGCCACCTCGAAAAGCAAAACATTCCCATCCTTTCCTTGGAAAACACCGGGGGAGTTTAGTCAGGACTTGATCTTGTTTGGCTACAATAGCGATCTCTAGTTGCCTCTTTTTATCTCTATCATTTTTCTTCCTTTCATGGTAGACTTCACTCTTTCCAGATGATTGCTGCAACGACTCCATTTTGCAATCTATGTTTGTTAATTTATTATTATTTGTTTCTTAAATATAGCTGTTAGATATCAATTAATCAAATTAGCCAGGGGTTTTGGGGTTTTGGGGTTTTGGGG